AAAAAGGAAGCATTCACTTGGCATTCATTACTAAGATTCAAAGAACTGAGAGATATTATGGGCAAATTACTGAGAAGCATCAAAAGAACATGGAGACTATAGAGACAGTCGCTGTATCAAAAACAATTGGATACTGGAAAATTTCAGGAAGTACCAAATAAACAGGAGGCAATGGTGATGGAAGAAAAGGTTCAAGTTGCACTGCACATTGGCATAAAATAAGGTCCAAGGATGGAATATTAATTTACATGTTTAAATTAACAGACACAGCCCTGGAAGTCTCCCCAGTCTATGCCAAGAAATTTGAAGGACAGTTGCTTGGCCAACTGACTGAAGAGGTCCTTATTTGTTTCCATTCCCAAGAAAGGTTATCCAATAAATGTGGAAATTATAGAATAATATTATTATCAATGCAAACAAAATATTGCTGAAGACCATCTGAAAAATACTAGAACAGTAGATTAAAAGAGAATTATGGCACCAGGGACCTCATTGTTGGGTCAGATGGATACTGGCTACAAGCAGAGAGTACCAGAATTTGTTTTACTGACAGTGCAAAGGCATTTGACTGTGTGGATTATAATGAACTATGGCTAACATTAAGAAGAATGGGTAGACAAGAACACTTAACTGTGCTCATACAAAACTTGTATGTAGACCAAGAAGCTGTTGCCCAAACACAGTAAGGGAACACTGCACGATTAAAAATTTAAAAGGGAGTATGCCAGGAGTGTATACTCTCTCCATTCAATCTATACACTGCACAAATCACTCAAGCAGCTGGGCTCTGAAGAAGAATGTGGTATCAAAAAATGGACAAAGATTCATCAACTTGTGTTATGCAGATGATACAAACTTGCTTGCTGAATGTGAGGAAGCACTTGCAGCAAAAGATCAAAATCCTCACCACTGGACCAATAAGCAACATCATAGATGGAGGAAAGACTGAAATTGGCAACTATTTCCTCTTACTTGGATTCACAATCAGCACTCTTGGTACCAACAGTCAGGAGATCATGAGACATATTATATTGGGCAAGTTTACCTCTTGAAAATACTGAGGAGCAATGATGTTAATTTGAAGATTAAGGTGCACCTGACTGAAGCCATAGTCATTCCAATTACTTGCTAGGACTCTGACAGCAGGGCAATGAGTAAGGATGACAGAATTATTTATGTCTTTAAATAGTGGTGTTGGAGAAGAGTTCTGAATATCCCAAGGATTGCCAAAAAGAACAGATATGTCTTAGAAAAAGTATAGTTGAGAGTGCTCTTTGAAAGCAAGGACGGCAAAGCGTTGTCTCACATTCTTTGGACACGTCAGGAGAGGCTATTCCTTGGAGAGGGGCATCACGCTTGGAAAGGTGGAGAGTCAGCAAAAGAGGGGAAGCCCTTCAATGAGATGCATTTACACAGTGACTGCAGCAATGAGTTCAAGTGTCTCAGAGATGATGAGGATGGCAAAGGATAGGCCCAACGTTCGGATTTGTTGTTGACAGGGTCTCTAGAAGTTGTACTCAACTCAAAGGCACCTAACAACAACCGTAATCCACCAGAGCTTCCTGGTCAATAATCAGATCCATAAAAGACCTAGCAAAGTACTCCCATAATGACAGCAGCTCAGAAAACAGGATACGTCGCAATCAACTCAAAACCACACAATTGACAGAATGTCATCTCCAGTATTGATAGCTTTTACTGGTTACACTTAATTTACCTGTAAGTGCTTATGTTTGCTTTGGGAATGGTAGTAAAATATACACAAATTACATCAGTTTTTCCTAAAGTTCACTAATTTTGTTGTCTCTCATTAACTTTGCCACTTTTTTTAGTTTCAACTCTTACTTCTATCACATTTTTATTATTTTTGCTGTTGAAAATATGTACAGTAGAACATAAACCAAGGCAACAGTCTCTCCATGTACTACTGAGTGATTCAGAGGACCCTCTTTAAGTTCTACAGTCAGTCTCAAACTTTTTCCTAGTTCCTCACCCATTAATCCTTTGGTAGGGATTGTATCTCAATGTCAAAAAAACCAGATTCTTACCACTGGACCAATAGGCAGCATCATGATGGATGGAGAGGAGATTGAAACTGTCAGCAGCTTCATCTTGCTTGGATCCACAATTAACACCCTTGGTACCAGCAGTCAGTAAATAAGGAGATGCATTGCACTGGGAAAATCTGCAGTTAGGGATCTCTCCAAATTACTGAGGAGTAATGATGTCAGTTTGAGGACTAAGGTGTGTCTGATTCAGGACATTGTCTTTCCAATGACTAGCTATGCATCCAAGACCTGGACAATGAATAAGGATGACATGAAATGAATGGATGCCTTTGAGTAGCAGTGTTGTAGAAGAGCACTGAACGTCTCATGGACAGCCAAGAAAATGACCAGACATGTCTTGGAGAGGGTGCAGCTGGAGTGCTCTTTGGAGGCAACAATGATGAGACTTCACATCACATACTTTGGGCATGTTGTTAGGAGTGGCTGGGCTATTCCTTGGAGAAGGATATGATGCTGGGAAGGGTAAGGGGTCAGCAAAGGAGAGGAAGACCTTCAACCAGATGGACTGACACAGTGACTGCTGCAGTGGGCTCTTGTGTCAGGAAGTGTGAGGATGGCGCAGGACAGAACAGTGTTCAGATCTTTGGTTCATGGGGTCGCTATGAGTTGTAGTTGCCTCAAAGAAACCTAACAACAACACCACTCATTAACATAAACTCACTGTCCTCTAAGCTTCCTATGTAACCTATTATCAATCCAAACTTATACAGTTCATTAAAAAAAGCACATGCTTAAGGTGGGGATTATTTACTAATGATGCTAAACTATGGCTTCATTTAAAAATGACTTTAGGCAATACTTTTTAAAAATATTTTCATTATTTTTGTGTGTGTGTACCATTAAATCTAATCTGACTGGTAGAGGAGGAGATCGCCCCCCCCTTCTCCAGCAGAGCATCTGGTGACTTTAGGTAATACTTCTGGTCTAACATTTAAAGATTACTTCAGGATAATAGTTTCAAATACATATCCAGCTTCGATGACTCCAGAAAACCTGTGCCCATAATTTGAAATTTTGTTCTGCATTTCTCTCCTTTTGGTTAGGATTATTCCACAGAATCTGATCAAAATGTTTGGTAATGACTGCTGGGCACTATCCAGTTTCTTCTGGTCACTTGGCAGTTTTTCATGTAAGACAATCAGTCACACATTCAATTTCCTCTTAACTTTCTTCCTTTAGACAAGTAGAGATTATTTGTTGTATTATAGATGGCCTCATGAAATCTTCCCCTCCACCCCAAATCTTTTAAGACCCTGTCCACTGTATTAATAATGTAGTAGGTAGAAATTTACTAAATATTTTATCAATCCTGTGTTCATCTGACTGGTGTCCATCTGTTTTACAACATTTGAGGGAAAATATTTTTTTTTCCTTTTTATGCAATATCCTTTGTTTTTCCATTATTAATTTCAATGAAAATTTACAGACTTTGGATTTCCATTCATTCATCGTTGCACGTTGCTCCCTTCCCAACCCTCCCCCCCAGTATATGCCCCTCTTGGAAAAGTAAGAGAAAAATTATTTCATTGTTTTACAATCCCTTCCCCCAGGTCCACTCCACTATGCAGCCTTCACTCTGGACTCCTGTCATGACAAAAATACCTAATCATATATCCCTTTTAAACAGTTGTCTCCCTCATCTGTTTAAATGCAGTATATATTCTTGAACCCATCTTTCTCATTCTCTCCCCAACCCCGATGTCAGACCTGTTTTACAACAGTGGCACCGTCCTTTTGCGACTGAGATATTTCACTCAGCATAATGTCCTCCAGAGTCACCCATTTTGAATAATATTGCACGAGTTCCTTGTTTTTCAATGCAGCGTAGTATTCCATTGTGTGAATATGCCACAGCTTCTCTATCCATTCATTTGTTGATGGGTACTAACATTGTTTCCAACTCTTTGTTATTGTGAACAAAGCTGCAATAAACATGGGTGTGCATAAATCTTTGAAATCTTCCCTGTAAAATCCGTGATATGAGACAACTGACTTTTATCTGCCAGCGAACTAATTAATTTGTTGCTGTATTCAGGTATTGTCAGGTTGAGTCTGACTCATAGTGACCCTGTGAACAATAGACCTGTACTTGGTCCTTTCCTTTGCCAACCTCACCATCTCTGATACATCTGAGCTCCCTGCTACAGTCATCATGTCAATCCATCTCCTCACGGGTCTTCTTCATTTTCACCAACTCCCTACCTTTCTGAGCATGATGTCCCTTTCCAAGGAATGGTGTCTCATAGTAGCATGTCCCAAGTATGAGAAGTGAAGCTTTGCTAGCCTTGCCACCAAGGAGCACTGTGGCTGTTCCTTTTCCAAGACATATTTATTCATTCGTTCTTTTCGCAGTCCATGGGATGTTCAGTACTCTTCTCTAATACAACTCTAAGGCATCAAGTCTTACAGTAGCCTTTAAAAGTAAAATCTTGACCTATAAAATATAGTTCTCTATAGAATAAAAGTAGCCTGTTAATATTAGAGCAAAGAACAAAAATATTACAAAAATAGGCATTTATTTAATAAAATAATGAATAAACATTGACAGAAACCTATTTCTTTGAAGTTATTCAAAGCTTTATGTGTGACGTCTAGAAAGATTTTTAATATCTCTCTTCATGCTCTTTGAGCTGATATATCTGACATTTGAATTTCAATATCTATGAGTCTCATAAGAACTCAGAAGTTATACCTCAACTTGAGGTATTATTGTTAAAAACAAGGACACTCCAGGATGACCTCTCAGCCCCCAAGTGTTTCACATCCACTGTAACTCTGACCTCTCTATACAGTAACCTGGGTTTATTACTTATTAGCCAATTAAATAAATTCCTTTCAGCTTTCCCTGTGAAGGAACTAAGTCCTCCACACAAATCCGAGACTTGATAGAACTTCTAGAATCAAGTGCAAGTAGCACTAGACAAGTGGGTATCAGGCGTCTGTAACAGAGGTGGCGATGTTCTTGCAGAACACAAGGATGGCGTCCTCTGTGGCGAGGTTTTTGTCATCATCACTGGCTGCTGCTTCTGCAGCATCACAGAGCATCTGAACATGGGCCAAGAGCGTATCTGGCCTCACTGCTCCCAGCCAGAGGTCCTTGATGTACAGAGATACCAGGAAAGCAGCAGCACCTGAGAGAGAGATGGAAAACAAAACCATGAGGATGTAAGCCTGCTTGGTTTGTAAACATAAACATACTGCCCCATGCCACCATGCCCAATGGCTCTGCCAGCACCCACGTATCTGAGTGTACAGATAAAAATGTCATCTTGCCTTTGCATGAATGTTTTAAAATTCCTCTTGAAATTTACAATTCTTCTGATGAATGTGTATGGATCATTATATTAAAAAAATCTACTCTGTCCAAGTTTGCCTGGTTCTACTTCCCCATGTAAAACCTGGATTTGGAGCCTGAAGAACACCTTCACAGGATCTGACTATGCTACTTCCTCAATGGCCCTGGGTAGAGATTTTATAGACCAAGAAAACCTCATCTCTGGGTTGCAGTCAGAAGAGAAAAAGATGGGACATTCCTGTCACTGGGTGAGCCTAGCCAGCCTGGCTTCAGGACCTGCTCCCCCTGCACCTGGGGTTCACTGAGTAGTACATGGATGTGTCAGCCTCTCTCATCTTCCCTTACAGCTTTTGGTACACAGTCATTCATCCATCCACTTGTGCATTCAGATTTTACGAATCACCAACTAAATGCCAAGTAGATAAACTCTGTGTATGTGCCATCAAATCAGAACTATTCATACCTGACCCTCCAGCCATCATTTATTTCCTGAGGCTGTAAATCACACAGACGGTCTACCATTCTCCCCTAGGGCCTCAGGTGGATCTGAAGTGCCAAAAAGGCTTGGCCTTGGGTTAGCAGCTCAACTCCCTACAGACTATGCCACCAGAACTCCTTAAATTCAAATGTACACACACATGTGTAAACAGACACATCTGGCTATGATGTGAAGCACAATGCTACATCTGTGTCACAGCTTTACAAGCCAGACAGGACATGGAGGTATGAGGTGGGTGCCTCATCATAGTAGAGTCCATTATCACAAAAAGGTTTGATCTGATAGTTATGGCAGACGTCTGCTACTTCATATCAGTGCCAGCGGCAAACCCTCTACAATGTCCCACATCATAATTTAAATGCCACCTCAGTGTTTAGAGTAAGAAGATTCTGGCTCAAAAAACAGCAGCAGCTCCTGACCCCACCCAAAGAAGGACCATTACCTCTCGTGGCTTCATCCTCCTCCTCCAGAGAAGAGAGAGAGAGGGCCTCGACGGCCTGGTGGATGGAGCTCCCCTCGTGACCCTGGGAGGCCACCAGCTGCAGCATGATCGTGTTGAACAGGCAGACAACGCCCTGTGTAGGTCCTGCCAGTCCATCAGCCCCACAGAGCTCGCTGTACAGCTTAAACAGGCTGCTTCTAACCGCACTGTCCCCGAGGAGGTCAGCTACTACCAGTGGCTGTGGCAAAATGTGGTTCTTGAGCCAGCTGAGGAATCCAGAAGCCTCTTGCCCACTGGGTAGGCACTTAACCACGGCCCGAAGCATCCACCTGGCTGCCAGGGAGGCAGTGGCATGCACAAGGCCCAGAGCATCACTCTTGGGGGTAGCCTCGTCCAATGGCTCCACTGAGGGCTCAGTGCTGGGGAACACAGGGCCCCAGTGGGTGAGTATGGACCTCACATGGCCCCTGCACCTGTCCAGGGTGGCTGCCTTCAGCTCAGGGGCTGCCATCTCTTCAGCCTCTCCAGGCTTCCTCTTTCGGCTTCGGGGGCCTTTGGTTCGGCCTGGGCCAACGGGCTTGTTCTTATCCTTGATCATTTCTGTCAGACACACAGAGAGAAAGGGCTGCCATCACTGTGGGGAAGCAAATGGATGAGCACTACCTCCGCGGCCACAGCGACACTCCAGTTGGGTACGTGTCGGGGAGAGGGCAGTGTGTGCACTGGGACGCCTGGCCGGCTCCACCGTTTATAACACAGGAGGTGCTCAATAGCTTACCGGGGTGTCACTACTGTAATTACAATCTGTTCACCAGCTCTCACAGCCACCTTCCAGGACAGCTGCTACTGCTATCCCTATTTCACTCACAATGAAAGTGCAAGTGGTGACACGGGAGCTTGTCTCCGGACCAGGCTCCAGGCTGTGCCTCTGACCCCACCCTGTGCTGGGTGGTGGAGACAAGTACCTATCAGTCCCACACACCCTGACCCCCACACTTCAAGGTGAGCAGCCTGACACTCAGGTAGGTAGAGTGTAGCCTTCTTCAGAGGTCAAATGCTACTAAGTGGCAGACCCAGACCCCACGCCAGGCCTCCCAGCTGTTATCTCAATGCCTCCTCCAGCCCATGTGGCCCTTGGCAGCTGACAGCCAGCTCCACTGCTGGCCAGTACTGTTCATTTCTATAGTGTGTAAGCCTGTGACCTGCAGGAAGACAACAAAACTACACCAGTGTGTGTCTGGTACAGGAGGAGACTAGTCCTCCTTCTCTTTCTGGAAAAGTTTCACGGAGGTGCTATATTAATTGCTTTCTTTCTGACAGGCCACCAGCTGCACTATGACTACTGAGGACCTGAGCTGGCCAGCGTGGGGCCCAGGCAGGGAGAGTGGCTGACCTGACTGAAGAGCCCAGGCCCGGCGCTCTTCTCCATAGCTGGATGCTCTGGGTGAAAGAGCTATTTAAGGAGCATGGAGACCCAGCCCCTCACACTCACTCATGAGCTCCTTGATTTGGTGCTTTTCAGCAGTTGCTTTCAGGTCTTCCTGGAGCTTGAGGTCTCTTTCGAGGAGGCTCCACTTGTGCAAGAGAACAAGGACGTCAGTGGTGGAGAGCACCTTCTCATTCACGGTGAATCGGTTCATCTCCTTGAATGCCTGTATCACGGTGGCCCGGTACCTCAGGATGGAGTCGAGGACCCAGAAGAAGTTGGTCACTTGAGCAGGATCCAAAGTAGGCCTGGTCAGGAAGCAAAGTTATGGGCTAAAGCAGAGGTGGCCTCCCGTTCCTAGCTGCCCAGGATTTGTGAGACCAGTCCTGTACAGCAGAACAAGCATGAACGTGGGCTATCCCACAAAGCAGGCTCGCTGGGAAAGATCTGGGTGTAGAGCCCCCTGCTGCTGGCACAGGAAAAGGGGAGCCACTCTGGTGAAGCTTAAAATGTGGCCTTGAGTCTGACTGCAACCTTGAAGGAAAGCCAGGGATCTTTTTGGAAACCCATGCTAAGTGGGATAGGTAGACAGAGGAGGCCTGGGGTTCAGGGTGCAAGGGCTTAACAAAACTCCACACTAGGCCTGCTGACCCACTTCCTCTTGGAAACTATAAGGAAAAGGTCTGCAGTGGCTCTTCCATCAACAGGCAAAACCTGGCTGATGGCCACGGCATCCCTACAACCTCAGAGTTAGCGATTCACTGTAATTCTAGAAATAAAATCATTATTCTAAACAATGACCAGTTCAGACCCCAACAACATACCTTTCAACAAGCACAAAGGCAAGACTGTGGCTTATCAGCACAGAGTTCATTTGTAACATCAAACAAAATACTTTGTCCTTTATAAAAAAATTTTCATTCTCTGATTACCATCTGTTCATGAATTTTCTGGTTCAAATTAGCATATTTCAGTTTCAAAATCAGAAACATGACTGTCTTCCTATATGTAATTCTCTTGGAAAACAAGCATAGTATCCCAAGGGCAGGGATGAAAATACAGAAGTATTTTGAGAAAACCTAAGGAAAAGAGTCATCACCTCCAGCTTTCTTAAAGTAATAGAAAAACTGCTCCTCCACGCATCACTTCTTCCAGGGTTTGAAGTAACACATTAAGGACAATGGCTCACTTGTTAAAAGTGACCTGGTATGACATGCTTTAAACAGGAGAAGTATGTCAAGGTGTCAGGGGCTTATAAATTTGAAGTAGACGGGAGGAGACTGCTAAGACTTATCTCCAGAAGGAAGACATCCACAAATGGCACCAATCCACCAAAACCCACCTGCAGAGTTGTGACTGAGAGGCGAGAACTGAGAGGTGACAGCCGTAAGAGACAGACTAAGTAACGGTGTCGGCAAACACTGCACGAAGTGGGTCAAGGGTGGGGCACTTACCGCAGGTGCTTCACGAGCGCAACGACAACATAAAGGAACTCATCGACCAGGTGCAGGGCGAGCAGCTTTGGGGCCTCCTCTGACTCTGGTTTGCAGGAGAGCTGGCTGCCTGGCTCCACCAGCCTGTCTCCCAGGTTGGTCACCCACAGTGTGTGCACCAAGGAGATGACATTAGTCAGCAGCTGCGTCTCCAGAAACCTGGAACCACAGACAAAACTTCATACTCAGCTCAACTGCCCCCCTTCACAGAGACCTGTCTGTCAGGGTTGAGTTAGGAGGGGGAGGAGAGGGGACAGTACCAAATGGTGGCAAGAACTTTCTCTCTTTCTCTCTCTCTCCTTCCAACATTAAATTTGCTCTCAACTCTTCACCTTCTGACACCACATCCAAATAAACAACATTTACATAAAAGCAGAGAGCTTGCTACATGCAGGTTACTGTGAGACACAGAAAAAGGCCCCTGCCTCTTCTCCCATCAGATGAAGGCCCTGAGTCTCCACTAAGAAGACAGTCTGAAGCCACCACAGGACAATAATGAGCTGCCCCACTGCTGGAAACAAGCTGATTTAAAAAAAAAAAAAAGCTACCTGGCAAGAATGGAGAATGGTCAATTATGGATTGCATAAATCTGGAAGAGTTCTGATGCAGACGTGTAAGGATACAGTCTAGACTTGTGGTTGTGTGCTATTGAGTCACTTGTGCCTCACAGCAATCCTATGTATAGCAGCTCTGCACCTGGCTCTTTACTGAGTCAACCCCATCATCTCCAACAGACCTAATACCATTTCTCCAGCTACTGTATCAATCCATCTCATCTAGGGTCTTTCTCTCCTGCACTGTCCCTTCTAAGCTTCATGTCCTTCTCTAAGGACTGGTCCCTCCTGACCACATCCCCAAAGTATGTGAGATGGAGCTTCAAAATCCTAGCCTCCAGGGAGCAGCTTTTTTCTTTTAGAGAAATTCGGAAAATACTTAAAAACAGAGACACAAAAGGGTCTCGATAACCACAGGCTTATTACAGCAGCTCTCTGACACACTAAGACCTTGACACTAGTTAGTGTGGGCTGTGACAAGTCTCCGTCTGGAGATCCTCATGCTCAGGAGGGGTTACTATCCCCTGCTGACTCAGCTCCTGGCACTGCGCTTACACCTGTTCTGCACCAAAGCCTGTGTGACAGAGGGGGACCATGGCCCCATCTTACTGGGGAGTCAAAGCTACATTTCTGATCTGAAATGGAAGTGTCTGTGTTTCCACCTTCAAGGGCTGTGTTCTTTAAAGAGTTCCTGGGTGGTGCAACAGTTAACACATTTGCTGCCTCCTGAAAGGCTGGGGGTTTGAGTCTACCCAGAGGCATCCTGTAAGAAAGGTGTGAGGTTCTCCTAAAGCAATCAGTCACTGAAAACCCTGTGCAACACAGCAGTCACAGATGAATGGAATACTTTAAGCAACTAAAATACATTAAGTAAAGCAACTTGCATTCTTTTTAACTCGGCTTTAAAAAGAAAAATTTCACTGCCATCAACTCAAATTTAACCTTACAGGACAGAGTAAAACTGCCACATACAGTGGACCGTCACACTTCCTGGCAGAGTGGCTGCTGGTTCAGACGTTCTGAATAAGCGGTGGAGATCCTAACCACTACGCTATGCCACCAGGCCTCCTGACCGGTGACTATTTCTGACCAAACAAAGTTTATCTGTGCACCAAGGGAGGGGCCTAACACCCTCAACAGAAGGTGGAAAAGTCTGCTGGTAGCGCCTGTCAAAGGTAAACCGCAGCTGGCGTTAAAATGAGGCCATAGTAGACGGAGACACTGAAGAGAAATATTTCAGGAGGAGGCGGCACTGCCCTAACACTTCATGTCACAGGTGGTGTGGGGACACGGCTATCACAGCGCACAGGTCTCACTGTGCGCTGTCAACCCATCTCCACCCACCCTCTCCCCGCCTGGCACACGCTAATGTCCAGCACTCACCTGCTCTGGAGGATGTGGACGATCCATGTTAAGAGGCTATAGTCCCGTATGAGTTCATAAGCAGCTTTGGTAACCTGGGCGGCATTCTGTAGGATCTCCAGGATCCAATTCTGAAAACCCAAAATGAAAAGTGACTCTTCGATGAGAAACCTTACTCGATGAAAGGAACAACTTGACAAGAAGAACAAAGGCACATTGTTCCGTTGCTGCTACAGCGCAGGTGGTTGTGGAAATGAAGTCTGTAAGGGGCGGGTGTGGGGTGGGGGAGTGGAGCGGGGGGATGGACACGCAGCAATGGCTGGTCCTGGGAGACCACTTGGCCTGGCCATGGGTGTTCGCTGTGGGCACAGCACAGCAGCCTGGGCTGAGCCGGGTGAGAACGCAGACCCTGTGTAGTCCAGCCAGGAGCTCCGGGACCTGTCACCACCTGGATGCCTACGGGACCATTACTTTACAATTCCCACATTGCATCAAAGGAAACACATTACAACTCAATTTCAACTGATGCAGAAGTGTTTCTTATTTTGGATTTACACCTACTTTACTCATATTTTACATACTACTAAAAACATTATCTATTTACTTCTTTCAACTATTATGGTATTTAGGAAATATGCGTATCAACTCTGGGTTCCAGGAGGTGTACTGACTGTATAGCTATCCTTAGTAACTATGAAGCAGTCAGTGCAAACTCTTCACACCCTCAGTCACCCAGTTATGTGTGACAACACGCAACCTCTGAGCACCAAGTGAAATCCTGGTGGCTCCAGAGCCCCCAGCCAGAGCATCATACCCTAATGGGATATAATTAATTTCTTGACGCCTCAGCCAGCATCAAAAGCTCCAATCAATGCCTCCCTCTTGATGGCCTTAATACCAGGGGAATGGTAAGAGGCATTTATGTCATTCAAGGAAAAAACAACAATGTCAGTCACACTGCAGCCAGCAATGACTCAGCCCACAGCATAAACAGGAAACATGATTGGCATGAACTGCTCTGAAATTCACGCTCAATGTCAAAGCGCAGGGCAACAGTCAGGCTCCAGCTGTGATTAGAAATCGCAAGGACTTGATTTCCAAATAGAAGCTCAAGAGCAGAAGCCTCTGCGTCACACGTACCTGGGCCACTTCCTCGCACAGTGAGCTTTGGAAGAAGGTTAGGATGACGTGGAAAATCCCTTGTCTGGCGTACAGCTCGTAGCAGTGCTTGTCACGAATCCCCTGCCGCAGAATGCCGAACGCCCACTCCTGCTCGGTTTTTTGCTGTGACCCAAGAAAAGAGGATATGATTGTAAAGTAAGTTAAAAGCTTTCTCTCTTTTCACGTGGTACCAAAGATTCCAGTGGTAACCCCTAACCCCATTTCTGATTACCAGCCGCCGTCAAGTCAACTCTGACTTACGGTAATGTCATACGTCAGAGTGGTGCTATGGTCTGATACGGTTTTCAGGAGATTTTTTGGAAGAAGATTGTCTGATCTTTCTTTTGAGGCACTTCTGGGTGAACCTGAACTTCCAAACTTTGGGTTCACAGTCGAGTGGGTTAACAGTTTGTATTGCCCAGAGATTTCTCTATTTCACTCATGTCACTAAAAATCTTCAGCCTCACTTTTGGATCAGTGTATTTGGTCATGCATAAGAGATCAGTCAAGTTGAAATTGCTTTAAGTCAGGTAGAGATTACACAAAGTTCATTTAATAGTTAGCCCTGTTATTTACCCAAAATAAATAAATAAATAAAAATCTGTCAAGCTTAGGACTCTGAAACAGAAGTTGTAAAGTTTAAGAAGCTACTTAAAATAAATGCATTCAATGAAAACCACGTCTGTGTGCAAGGTTGCAAGACTTCTTGCCAAGCATTCATGCCGTGACCCTGCAGCTGGCACCCAGCCTGGATAACTGCAGTGTCCGCACAGCAGTATTATAGGAAGAATTACCCGCATCCCAGCAGCTGACTAAGGCAACACAAGAGTTTATCCAGGGCTGTGAGGACTTTAGAAACAGTACCTCAAAGTCAGAGCTGTAGAAGAACTGGTAGAAGCCTGGAACTTTGTTCATGTTCAGATCCTCATGTGACAGCAAGAATTTGCTGATCTTCAGGTACATGTGCTCCTCTGTGGACAGAGCAGATGGTCAGTGACTCCAGGGTCAGGGAGGTGATGTGCAGATAACAATGTATTCCTGTCTCCATAGGGCCTTCACAACCTTAGCCAGGTGATTTGTTCTTGAGAATTAAACTATCGCCACAAGCCTTTATTCTATGCTGCCTATATCCTTTCTCTATTGGTACAGGCACTGCACCTGAGAGTTGCTGTTCTTTTCTCTGATTACCACCCTACTGCAAGAGTTCAAATCAGCACTGTATAAAGAGGAGACATGCTCGGGGGGAGCCCCAAGCCCACCCTAAGCCTCTCAGTGCCACAGCAGTGGAGGTACAGGCATTTACTGGGTCCTTCTGCTCTGTGGCACAGCAAGGCAAATGCCACAAGGCAGACGTGCATAGACATAACCTCCACAGCTGCCCCCCAGTCACCAACGTGCAGTCTGCTACCCATCACACCCACACTCAGGCTGCAAAGGCAGGACAGGAGGCCAGGGCCAAAGGCATTGTAGTCTTACCTCTGATATTTTAGGGTTTGTAAAAAGTTGAATTTTATGAAGAGGAAAAAAATATTTCAAAAATATGTCATAAAAATGAGCTAGTGAAAATCAGGAGATCTGAATTTTAATAGCAACTTGATTATAACCCAACTAGGGCCTAGAACAAGCTACTTAACCTTTGGGGTCTGGGCAGAAGAGGTTGTTTCCTCATCAGAACAATGGCCATGCTATAAAGAACCCTGAGGCCCCTGATGGTGCCAATATTCTGTCTCCTTGGTAATAAAAAAAAAAGGCCTAATGATAGACTAACACATAGACAGTGCTTACAGGGATGCTCCTGTTGTTGGAAACAAAAAGGGGTCATGTTCTGTAAACTACAGCTACACTGGCTCAGGGAATCGCAGGCCAAATGCCTTCTAGGTGACTGGTGAGGCCATGCTAACTCCTTCCTAAGCATGAACAAAGATTCTCAGCAGTGCTGGTGGCTGCAGTAGCAGAGGCTAACACACACTGATGGGGGCTCCTGAGCGATGACGCCCTGCCCGGGCTGTGACGTGAGTGAGCCCACATCAGTCCTCTGAGGGGTTGCTACCATGCCTGAGTTTGAACACTGGCAATGTGGCTTGAGTCCATGCTTTTAACTCCTGGGTTGGAGTCCTCTGAGTATATAAATCCAGAAGGTTAAGGTAAATCTCAATTTTTACTTCAATTTTATTTGCTGACTTTGTAAAACTACAAGAAAATATAAATACAACATTTTCTCAGTATCCACAGGGGTACTAATAAAATCTAAGGATACTCATGCTCCTTACATGAAATGGTCTTATCTGGGTATAACCTATGCACATCTTCTCGTATACTTCTTATATCATCTCTAGATAAATTGTATAGGCATACCTCATTCTATTGTGCTGGGCCCCACTCTACTGTATGATAGGGCTTTGTATGCAGAACACCAAATTAAAAATCTTGGTAACTCCCACTGAACAGGCTATTGGTGCCATTTATTTTTAAAAGCATGTACCCAACTTTGTGTCTGTCACATACTGGTAGTTCTCACAATATTTCAAACTTTATAACAGTGTTATTACACACTTAACAGACTATAGTGTAAATGCACAGGATACTAGGGCTTTATGTGACTCGCTTTACAGCAATAGTCTAGGACTGAACTTGCACACTGTTTTAGGTTTGTCTGCATCCTCTAATGCAGCGGAAATGGCATGTAAATAGCACTTCACTTTATGCTCACATTTTTGTTTGAGCTTAGTTGAAATTAGCAATGCAGAATCCAGAGATAGGGAAAGGCAACTGTATTATTTTGGGTGTTCTACCCTCCCCCCCACATTTTCTAATTTTCACTTACATTTATTCTCGTTCTTTGCAAAATTCTAAAATGTACAGACAGAACAACACACTTGGGAGCAGTTCTGTGCTGACTGCTACTAGAATTTCTTTTTTAAAAAAGAAAATAAATAATTCCCTGCCTTCTCATGGATTCTGACCGGTAGTGATTTAGAAGATAAAGGAGAATCACACCTTAGGGCTACCAAGGCTATCCATCTTTACACAATAAAAGCCATATCAACTTTCCTCCGTGGAGCGACTAGTGGATCTGAGTTTACGCCTGTAGCAGTTACGCCAAGAGCTCTGGTGGAGGTGACGCTCCTCCGGATGGCTGAGTCCACCTACCAGTCCAGGAGTGAGAAATGGACAATCAAGTCCTTCCCATGCAATTTACAGTCTCCAAAAAGTCACTGGAGGGTCAGCTGTAGCAAAGAGTTTTTTAGTTATGTTAATGCTGTGTAACGTAGAGTTGGAACTGACCCATAGCTGATCCTCCAGCCGGTTTTCAGGGGCAGTAATCACACAGTAGACTGCCCATTCTTCTTCCATAGAGCAGCTAGTGGCCTTGAACTGCGTGTCTTTGGGATTGCAGTGCAACTTCTTGCCACTAGCCCACCAGAGCTCCCTAATATTTACACCAACTGTGTATGTTTTCTCTCTTCACTTGCCACCAAGCAAAGACACTGTTCTGCATCTCACCTTTCACTTAACTTTCCCTGGATTTCATCCCAGTGGGTTCCACAAAGAGTGTGCTCCCAACTCCAATTTACCTGTCCACTACAGAAGGACATTTACCTAGTCTGGACTATTATAAGCACAGAATGAATGTATCATTTCTTACATATGTATGATTATTCCTACAGGATATGTTCCTAGAGGTGGACCTGCTAAATATTAGACGCTTCCGATTCACCTCAACCTAATTATGTTGAGTGGTACCTGGCTTCAGAATCTGTATGGCTGCTTTGGCAATGAAGAGAGTCAAGGAGAAAGTGAGCCTCATGTTCTGAGATCGAATCCCATTCCGCACCACATCCAACAGGTAAAGAAGCTGAAAATAGAATACAAGCATGGTGGTCAGTCTGTGCAGGATGTGGCCACTCCTTAGGTCCCTGGAATGACCTGGTGTGTCCACCACCAGTCCAGACATGCCTTTCATTAGAACACTAGGAGGCAAGCATGTGCCTGAAAACACAGAAAACTGCACCAGGCTCTGAGAAGCCAACGGCTTTTCTTCCTCCACCGGCCGACTTCTGAGTCGATCTGCCGTGGATCAGCCGTCTTTAATCAAGCAGCTCAGAACAAAGACAGCCAAGATATCATACCGTGCTGTTCTCCCGAGAATAAACACAGAGGTCTATAGAAAGAAACCCTGTAGGTAAGGATAAAGGGCTACCTTCTGTCCAGACCCACTGCTTTTGAGTTGGTTCTGACGCACAGTAACCCTGCTTTATGCATCATCGCCTAAAAGGGAACAGATCTCTGTTCTGTATCAGTACTCTCCCAGCAACAGGTCTCAAACCCTATGGAGAGAGCCAGCTCTCTGAGCCCACCAGCCCCCCTCAGCTCAGGATGTCCCTCTTCTCACCTGAGCTTGCTCTCGGAACCGCGCCCCTTCCAGGTGGGAGTAGTAGGCCGCCAGCACATAGTAGGCAGCAGCCCGCATCTTGGGGTCATAGCTGCTGAGGGCTGCCACTGTCAGACCCAAAGAATTTGAATCCAAAAATTTTCGACAATCCACGACAAATTCTAGATGAAACAAAACACAGATGTCAATTAAACAAGCATGCGCATGCACACCTCCATAATACAAGTGTAGTCTGTAAAGGTCAATGCCACTCTTTGCTTCACAAATATCACTATCTGATATGGAAATGCATTTCTTTCTTCATTATCTTAGACTGAAGGTGGAAAAGAGACCAAGGTCTCTTTGTGACAGAAACTGCAAAAGCTTCAGCTTCTAAGATGCTTATGAATCCCAGCAGAATTATTCAATGACTTCTCTCTGGTACCAATGAGCTAGAGAAGAATGAAGGCTGCAGCAGACCAGAGGAAGGGGCACAGCTGAGCCCTCCCTCTACAAGGGCCACGAAGGATGGACACAGGCAAAATCAGGGTGGTGAATCTGAGGCAAACTCACCTTTTCACAAAGTATATATTTATATCCACTCTATGGTATTTAAAATGCATGTGAAATCATATGCATGTCAAGGATGGGTAAAGAATTAGGAAGACCCAAGAAGAATGGCTACCTTTGAATTGTGGTGGTGGCAAAGAATACTGAATATCCTGTGAGCTGCCAAAAGAACACACAAATCTGTATTGGACGAGTGCAGCCACAGTACTCCTTACAAGCATGAATGAGGAGACTTGGTCTCATATACTCCGGGTATGTTTCAGGAGGTGTCAATCCTTGGGGAAAAAATGTCAGGCTTTGAAAAGTAGACTGTCAGGGAGGGAGAGAAAGACCTTCAACAACATGGACCAACACATGACTGTAATAACAGTCCTGAACTGAGCAGACTGTGAGGCTGGCACAGGACTCAGCAAGGTTCCGCTCTGCTGGACACAGGTCACTATGAGTGGGAGCAGACTCATTGACACTTAACAACAACAACAACTGCAATCTCAGCTCTGTTTCTGAACAAAAAAATCTTCCAGAAAACAATGTGAAGAGGCTGCCAGCCACTTGCCAATTTTCAGATTCAAAGAAACCTACAAGCACTCTAGGAGAAGAGGGTGGACACATGGTAAATTATGTACTTCACTTGTTATGTGCTGTCAAGTCACTTGCTACTCATAGTGACCATATGTACAAGAGTCCTAAACCCTGCATCCTGTGCCAATCTCAAGTTTCCAACACACCTACCCCCATTACCCCAGTCACTGAATCAGTCCATCTCATTGAGGGTCTTTCTCTCCTGCACAGTCCCTCCACCCTCCCAAGCATGACGTCCCCTCTCCAAGGACTGATCCCTCCTTGAAACATGTCCAAAGTATGTCAGACAAAGCTTCAGAATCCTTGCCTCCAAGGAGCAGCCTGGCTTCACCCTGTCTAGGACGAATCTGTTCTCCTGACAGTGCATGGTATATTCAACATTCTTCTCCAGTACCACAACTGAGATTAAACAAAAAAATTCCCTACCAATAAACAAAATATAAACCAGGCAAATGTCTGCAGTTAAGGGGATTCCAATCCATGGTGGCGCCACATACAGAACCGCTGGACTGGAGTTCTTTGGCTGTAATCCTGTGGCAGGACTCTTGTACAGCATCACCAGGTGGCTTCCAACCACCAATGTTTGAGTATAAACCACTTGCACCATCCAGGGACCACCATAACTGAAAGGGCTTGACTACAACTCACTGACATTCAAAAGACTTCCATTTCTCTAAAAACTTGGGCCTTTTTACAAGATAAATATTACACAAAAATCTTAGTAATGAACTATGTGACAACTTATTTAGGAATGATCCCCACCCAGGATAATACTCACTGACTGATGACGTAGTTATATTAGGAATCATACACCAGTCAAAGTGACACCCTAGACAAGCAATTGTAAAATAGTCTACCATAGAAAGATATAATAGCAATCAAGCCTCTATAAAAGTCAGTTTGCCTTCTCCAATCTCTCCAGATGCAGGTTTTTCAAGAATAATGATGACAATCCTAAAAATCAAGACCAAAATAATTGTAATAATAACAACTATAACACAACAAACTATGGGGGCAGAACTGGTGGGCTGCCTTGCTTTTCCAGGCCTCGCAAGTTTTCCACCTTTGACACCGAACCGTTTTACCACTTTTATTACTTGTTTCAGCAAAACATCTTTTGAGGTTTTTTTCCTGTGATGGATTTGTCTCAGGTTGGTCCCTGCTTTTGGAGATTATAATGTACACACAGAAAACCAAATTTAACTTGAACCCTAAAATAATCTCTGAGCAGGAAATAAAACTCTCTCCAAGTCTTCCTTAAGACAAATATTAGAATGGCTTACAAAAATGAATAGTATCACCCACAACGAATGTTTCTTAAAACAAAAAACTTCAGATCAAATGGTCAATGGCTCCTCAAAAACAAAGATGAGTAAGGGAACTTTGGTGGCCTAGTGGCAAGAAGCTGCGGTGCAATACTAAAGGCAAGTGGTTCGAATCCACCAGATGCTCTGCTGGAAAAGGAGGGGCAATTTTCTCTCTGCCAGCTGGATCCGATTGGATGGTACACAAGGGGGAAAAAACCACCAAAAACAAAGGTGAGAAGGTAATGAAGGGAAAGGAAACAAAATCAACAGAAACAGAAAAAGAATGGAAATAATGACAATACTGATACATTGTAAAAATTGCTAACGATGGTATGGAACAATCTATATAAAAACTTTTAAATGGGAATTTAATTTGTTGTGAAAATGTTCGCCTAAAACAATTAAAATATTATGAAATAAAAATAAACAAATCTGGAAACAATGATTTACAAGACATTGTACTTTAGGACAAAAAACAGTGGTCCCTGAGACACAGGAAACAAACAAGACAAACCTTTTAAGAACCCCATCTTACATCCTGGAGAGTGTCCAGGGAGCAGCACAGGGAGGAGAAACTGAAGCAGGATCTGGAGATCTGGCTTAGACTATTGGGAGGGCATGCTGGCCAGAGCTTGCAGGGCAGAGTGCTGGAGAAGAGGAAGTTACGCAGAGTGCGACAGTCTTTAACCGAGCACCAATCAGCACATAAACAGAAAAACTACCTGACTAACATCCAGAAGATTGGAAGAAGCTATCACTGGGTTAGCACATACCAAGAAATAGTTTCTGCTTCCACCAGCCAAGATGGAATCTTCCTAATTCATGGGGCATTACAGTGGAGGACTTCACCCAAGTGGTGGTGTGTGTACCGTGGAGTCAGAGCCAATGCATAGCTGACCCTCCAGCTGGTTTCAGAGGCAGTATAACTGCATGGGAGGAGACTGCCCGTCATTCTCCTGTGCGCCTGGCTGGTGGATTCAAACTGCATGCCTTTGGGTGGGCAGCGCAGCTCTTCACCACTAAGCTACCAGAGCTCCTTAACTACTTAGTAGTAGTAAAAAATTAGCTCCAGACTAAACATTACTTTGATTTAGCCTAAGAAAGCAGAAAAACAAGGCTGTTAAAGGGCAAACCATTTCTGAACAACTTAATTGAGTGCAAAAATAAATTAAAAAATATTCAAAGGAAAACAAAATATCCAGGGCCAAACAAGGCAAAATTTGCAATGTCTAGCTTCCAATAAAAATTACCAAGAAAAAAAAAACACCAAACACAAAAACCAAAATAAAACCACACCAGAATTAATAAAGAAAATGCTTTCATTTGAAACCAACTGTCAAACCCAATTACATGTTGCCTAAAAAGAAACCTACTTTAAATACCAAGACTCACAGATTAGGAGCAAAAGATTGGAAAAGGGATAAACAGAAGACTTGGGCACCAGTTTCTTAGGGCTTAAATTCCCCATTTTCTACTAAGTGACTATTTTTGATAGTAGGAAAACCCCCCAAAAGCTATGAAAAAATTCTATTGTTTTGGAAAACACAAAATGTGTTTAAGTCACACTTACATAACTAACACAACAAATATATGTGAATGGGATACATTTAAGAACAAGAATAGTCTGAATATTTAATGTCACACCCACTAAAAATAGTTGACTTAGTTGGCCAGGATATTTCAGCAATCTCACAAATAGATTTTTCCATACATGAATCCATGAAGAAAAGTCAATTTTACATTTTTGTGGTCATTTTTACTACTCAATGGAGGTCTCGGCTTTGTAACACTTGAGGAAAAGAGCTGTCCTTGGGAGGCTGAAAATATAATGGAGTATTTAAAAATAGTTATGTCATTCTCTTTGTTTTGAAGACCTCACAAATAGCAGCTTGGCCTTTTGATAACAGACCTTCAGATCAAATTGGTTTAACCAGGACAACTTTAAAGGATTAAAATAAACACTGCCTCATGGTCTAGCAGGATTTAGTGGTAAGGTACCTAACTGTGCTGCAGGAGCATCCAGACATCAATAAAGCTCCTCATCACATGCTCCCCCAGAGGCAGGCTCCAGTGTAAGGCTTGGCAAATGGCAGGAGTCTCGAAGTCTGCACTCTGGTCCTCAGGTGAAGAGACTGCAAACACCACAAATGGGACTCTTTTCTGGCTGCTCTGTGGCTTATCTGAGTCAGAGCTACAGATTTCAGTCCAGCAGTGCTAAGGACAGGACTTCACTGTGGAAAAAACATTTGTCACTGCCTCTGCCCATAGCCTTGGCTGGTCCTGTATCTCGGCCAAGGACTCAACCAAGGGAAGCAGTAAGGTTACGAAAATAGGTGCTCATCTTCAGCAAAGAGTTTGAAACAGAAAAGTGAGAATGTAGTTTCTCTGAAGACTGGTTTAAACCAACAACAAAACCAGAGGCATCAATTCCAACTCAAGGTCTTATTTTTTTATTAGGTACCACTGAGCAGCCTCTGACTCACAGGAAAATCTATATACCACAGAACCTTCTGCTCTTCTGCCCTGCCTGCTCTTGCACTGTCCCTATTGTGTTGACATTTATTGTCCCAACAACTGGATCAGTCCACTTCATTGAGGGTTCACTCACCTACTACTTTTCCAAGTATAATTTCTAGGAACTGGCCAATAAACAGTAACCACACTAAAAAACTAAGCAACTATCCAATTTAGGATTTCATAAAGTTTAGAAATACACTATTATGAATTTACACACAGCATGGTTGAACTGTATGAATATAGTGTATAATAAATGAAGCTTGACACATAAACACAAAGGTGACAACTGAATTTATACTAAGCTAAAAACCAAGTTACTGGCTCCTTTTGTGTACTGACTAGGAAAATACTAACTGCTGGTTATGTGTATCCCTTGATCTGGGTGGTGATTTTACCAAAACTTAAGCCAAACAATATGACTTATGGACTTCTATGTCACACTTCAGTAAGTTTGTTTAAACAATTGTTCTTGTTTATCTGCTACCTAGCAAAAAAAGTAAGAGGGGAAAAGAATCCTAACAACTTTTTAGCAAAACAAATGTGTAACTCAATTTAATTCAGTTACAATAAATCTAACCAACATGAGCCTCTATGCTGTCTTCTGTTCTACTTGCCATTTATTTCAGTGTTACATTATTTCAAGATGAAAAGGCTTCCTTTTCATCAGACAATAAAATCTGCTTCCTTTTTTTTTTGACTCTGAATAACTAGGATAGCTAGTAAATTTTAAAAGCATTGTTTTTATTACCTATATTTCCCCACTCACAACTTTGTGTTTCTTAGTATTTTTTATCTGCGTGAATTAATTTTAGTGTAAACAGCTCACTAAGTTATTACAAACCCTTTATAGGATTAAAGCTGACATTTTATGCCCAATTTTTTACCAGCACTATACCAATAAAACTTAATCTAACTTGTATCTGGAAACTTACAAGTAAGGAAAACAGTGGCTGGCACATTTCCTAGACTTGAAATACCCTGCAATATAGTCTCTTCACAAAAGGTCTTGTATGGCCCACCAAAAAAAAAAAAGTACAACATTTAAGATTTTGTGGAAAATATTTTACCCTGATTTCACTCCTAAATATTCTACATGTCACTGTTTTCTGTCCCTTAAAAGTTCGGTTGATATAACAGAAGCTAACTAAATAGATTTGTTATAATACAAATTATAAGGGCAAGCAACTTCATATTTTTAGATTGTGGAAAAATCTATTTTCATGTTTGATGAGAAACAGACACTGTCAGAGGATGTGGTGGAGGAAATGAGAATAACGTCTGGGCCACATGTAATTAGATTTGCCTCATTTAATCAGTTTTATATAGTCACCAGGGCAACTAAGATAGCAGTTGGTCATTATTGTAATCTAACATTTGCATGAACTGCCCCTTGCTGTCTTGCAAATAAAATCTAGTTTCCACACTGGGATATAATACCTTGTCCATCAGGATGAGAGGCTGAGCCAACAAAAAGTGCTAATTATGAAAATCACTATAAAAGCCCAGTCCTCTTTAATCTCTTTTGAGGTAGTGGAGGATCATTAAATTCACTAAAAACAGGAACATTTATATACAAAAAGTTGTTTTCAAGGATCTCGCCAAAGTGCTAAAGAGCAATGATGTCAGTTTAGAGACTAAGGTGTGCCTGATCCAGGCAGAGAACTGGACAATGAGTAAGGATGACAGAAGAAGAATCAATTCCTTTACGTTGTGGTGCTGGAGAAGAGTACTGAACATATCACAGCCCACCAAGAAAACAATCAGTCTTGGAGAAGGTGAAACCAAGTTTCTCCTTGGAGGCAAGGATTCTGAAGCTCCGTCTCACATACTTTAGACACGTGGCCAAGAGGGACCACCAGTCCTTGAAAATGGACTTCCTGCTTAGTGGGAAGGGTGGAGAGTCAGTGCAGGAGAAGAAGACCCTGGATGAGATGGGTTGACATGGTAACTGGGGCAGTGGGAGTAGGTGTGTCGGAGACAGTGAAACTGGCTCTGGAGAGGGCAAGGTTCAGAGCTACCGCATCACGCCACTCCAGCCCAAAACTATAGAAAAGCACTATGGCTTCACCTACCAATGAAAGAAAGGCCAACAGAGGAGTCTAGCCTTCTACTTTTGCCATGCTGTCAAGAAGCAAAGAAAGAAAGACTTAGCCAAGATGGTTCCAAACACTTGGTCAAGACCTGAAGCTTTCATCCCCACCGGCAAGTAACAATATGCCCCTCTTGCTTCCCACTGTTTAAGAAATCTAAGGAGGCCTCATTACAGGAACTGGGAAGGACTGTCACCAATACCCACTTGTAACAAGGCTCCCCTGTTTTGTTGTCAGCACTGGCCATGTAAGGAGCAGTCACAAATCATTCCTACCATCACGTCCAGATAGGAAGAATCCGTGAAGGCCTAATGGGCAACTGGAGTTCTTGCTCCTACTTAACCAGCAGTTATGAGGCACAGACCTCTTATCTGTCAACAAAGGCCAAATGGAAAAAAGGGACTTCTATTCCCACCAGGAAATAATAAGGCAGCACCTCCCTGTTCCCTGCTAGAGCACAGCCAGTCCACTAAAACAAATGACTGAATCAAGTGTCGGTCTCACAATACCCAAAATGTACAATTTTCAATCAAAACTCACTTATCATATTAAGAACTAAGAAGATCCATAGATACTAACATCAAGTTGGCAGAGAGTTTAGAATTATCTGACAAGTATCTATCATAAAAATGCTTCAATGAGAAATTACAAACAACTTGAAGCAAGTAAAAAGGACAGAAATTTTCAGTAAAGAAATAAAGATATTAAGAACCAAAGGGACGATTTGATGGTACACACACACACACACACACACACACACAAAAAGTGGCCTGCTTTAAGAAGGCACCTGTTTCCCAGTTACATTTAAAAGAAAAAAAAAAAGAACCAAAGAGAAATCGTAAAATTGAGAAATATAATGACTAAAACAAAACATAATGGGTGGATGCAACAGCAAAATGGAAGGAATAGACTTAACCAGCAGACATCTCACTAGATAGTAATCAATTGAATCATAAACAGAAAAGAGTTGGGGTGGGGGAAAAAGAAACTGGCTGCCTCTGGATGCATGCAAAATGTGACCAGAACTAGAAGCGTCTAGGAAGAGTGGAGCAGCCACAGCACAGCCTCTCTCATCTCTCCACAGGCGTTGGCCCACATAATAGTTGGACAGGACACACGACAGCACCAATTATGGGCACGAGCCCCTGGCACCACAAACTCAATGCCATCAACATTCTGATGTCCTTGCAATCAAGTCCCTCCTCCCTGCCCCACAGATGGCTATGTGGTCAGATACAGTACAGGTATGAAGTGGCGCATATATACACTTAGACAACAGTCTTACTAACTGGTTAACTATTAAAGACAAATGGTATGTAAATATTTTAACTTAGGTACAAATTCAACTTATAGACTGATGTAGGAAGGAAATTCATTCATAATTTAGATGCTTTAAGCAAGCTGAAAAGTACAAGAATGGAAAGACATACCATATAGACACTAAGTGACAAAAGTGGCTGTATTACTAGCAGATAAAATAGATTTTAGAGTGAATAAAATTAGCACGTAGAGGACTTGAGTTAACATTAAAAGGATCATCCACCAAGAAGATACAGCAATCCTAAATTTACATGTGCAGTTACCAAATATGTGAAGAAAATAGATAGTACTGAAATGAAAGAGAGACAAATCTACAAATAAAGTTGAAAACATTAACATCCTTCTTTTAGCAATTGCTATAAAAACAAAATGAAAATCAGCAAGGAGATAGGACTCTGTAATGTGAGAAATCAATGGAGTCTATCACATTTATAGAAAGCTCCACCTAACAAAAGCCAAATATACATCCTTTTAAGTGCCAATAGGATATAACACATTTTCTTATTTTCCTTCTCACTCTCAGATTGCCAGACACAAAACAGAATTTGAAAAATACTCTTAAACCAAGAAAAAGTAACAGTCTCTAATTTCATGTATAAAATCTCTCATTCCTGTTTGTTTACTATGTTATAAGATGTCAGTGAATACTTCTGGGAAACATCAAGGACAAAAAAAACCACTCTCTGGTCATTTCTTTGAAATCATAGTATATCCATTATCTGGTATTTTACTTGAAGCACTGTCACGAAAAGGTAAAATCCAACTGAACATTCTTCTAGAATTATTTTCAAGTAAGAGCTCACCATTTCTTGGTAATAAACTGGCCTCGAGGATGTCACCGTTGTGATGTCCGAGGCGTACACAGCAGGAACACCCCATCCCCTCACCCCAAAAGGAGGCTTCATTTACCTGGCCTGGTTAATTCACTGAAGAGATGAAGTAGAAAGCAGGGGTCATAAAGGTTGTCGAGGTCCACTATGCTCTTGTCTTTAAATATCAATTCCTGATCATCCTGAAAGAGCCCCAAAGAAACAGAAATGTACTATTCAACTACATAAATGTAATATTCTGCAACTGCTGCTGTCTGCTATGGAGTTAAAACCAACTCAGAGCTGAGCCTCCAGAGAGTGTTCAGAGGCAGTAAATCACTCAACTATCCATAGGCACTGCAATCCGAAAGGCACATGATTCAAACCCAGCAGCTGCTCCATGGGAGATGGACAGGCCGTCTTCTCCCATAAGATTAACTTATAACTTAACTGCCTCTGAAAACCCGCTGGAGGGTCAGCTATGGGTCAGGTCTGACTTGATGATACACAATAACCACCAGCCCTTGCAGAGCAGCTGGTGGATTCACACCAGATGCCTTCAGGACTGCAGTGTGGCTTCTTAGCACGAGGCCACCCAACTCCCTATTCTGCAACTATTGACTCACTTTTTCTAGAATTCTAAATATGTTGAATATATAAGTGCATGCAAGCATAGTTTATATGTAAAAAAGAAGAAAGTAACAATTATCACTAATATATACAATGCTATGCTTTAGATTTGATTCAAAATAATTTGGGGAGGCAAGGCTATGCATAAAACAAATTTGGCCAGTGCTTACAACTGTTGATGAGTATGGCTAAGATCTTATGCAAAAAAAAGTTAAACTACAACAAGAAAAACAATGTCTGCATTTAATAGCATGATTCAGCTCAAGGAGCAATGGGAGGCAGGGTACCACCCTCTACCCGAGTGCTCCCCCACCCCTGCAGCCCCTGGCTCCATCACTGAGGAGGGATAACACTATGTGTGGCTGTACCTCGGGCGGCAGCAGCTTCCGCTTCTGGGGGAAATGGAGGATGGTCTTCAGCATCCGGTCCCGATCCAGCAGGCGAAGGATGTCCCCAACACTCGGCTGCTGCCACAGTGACTTGCCGAGGCTCCGGCATGTCTTGTGATGTTCTACAGCTGCTGGACCCCACATCAGCACCCTAGAGCCGAAGGGGAAAGCTGACTGGTCAAAGTCCCAACAGGTACAAAACTGATAACCACAAGATGATCCTACGTTGTTGTGAGGTGTTGTCATGTCCACTATGACTCACAGCAATCCTCCGCCTAACCAGTCCCACGCTCACAGCCTCCATCATGCTCAAGCATGCTCACTGTGTCAATCCATTTTTGTGAAGGTCTTCTCTTTCACTCTCTACTTTTCGAAGCAGCAAGTATATGCCTAGTGCTATTCTGCATGGTACATGTGTTAGTTATACCAACTTCCTCACACAATCTTTACAGCATGACAAGGACAGAAACTAAGACAAAGCCTAGGACTAGCAAGAAATGACTATACCTTTGGGTGTACACAAATTCATTGCATCTTCAAAGCAATCCCTTAGTAGGTACTACTATCTCAACTTTGACAATTAAAAAAGACAAAATTAGGAAAACTGCTCAGCTGGTCCCTTGCCTAGCTATTAAGTAATAGGGCTGAGATTCAAACTTGTGGAGTCTGGCCCCAGAGTCAGGCTAGATTACAGCTGCCGAGCCCTGTTCCTGTCCACACATAACCAAGAGCAGTCAGCTGCCTGGGCCAGTCCCAATATTCACAACGCTGTACCTCTAATAGCCATGGCACTCCTCCCACTGTGGCTTCCTACTTAAGCCCACATCACCTTCTTTCTGAAAAACAACACAAGCTTCCCCTTATTTATCCTCCCAACCATCAACCCTCCTCACTGCTCCATGATGCGTTCCCAAAGCCCTACTCTCTTCTGAGAACTAAGCTAGACTCCTCTCACAAACAACTCTGTCTACTCATGGTGTGACTCACTTGCCCTCTAATCTCGAAATCAGAGAATGTCTGAAAGCAGAAATGGAAAGTTAATGCTCAGGGGTTAACCCTTAGCCCTCCCATTTCTCTCTGACATATGCAGGGACAGCTTTATTCCAGAAAGGGAACATAAAAGCATAATGTCCTTTTACAAGGACTGTTTCCTCCTAATAATATGTATGTTGAGATGGCAGTCCATGGTTATTTATTGTACTTTGCCAGCATCACAATTCTATAAGGCATATATTCTTCTGTGGTTTTCCTTATTCTTTGTCCAACTTCCTAAGCATGTGAAACAATAAAAAATTCCATGGCTTGGGCTGAGGACCCGTTAGTTTTTAAACAGACATCCTTGCTCTTTAACACTTTAAAGAGGTCCTTGATAGTAGCATTTGCCCAATGCAATCCATCTCTTGATTTTTTAACTACCATTACCATGGGTGTTGGCTGCCGATCAAAGCAAAAGGAAATTATTTAATCTCCAATATTGCCCAATGATCTAGTTGTGAGAAGTTTTGTTTTGATGAGACTGTGAATCACAATGAAGACTGTAGTCTTTGATTCTCTTCAGTAAGAGCTTCAAGTCTTCTGCATTTTCTGAAAGCAAAGTAGTGTGTCAACGACCTAATACAGACTGTTAAGTCTCCCTACAATCCTGACGTCACATTCTTCTTTATATAATCCAGCTTCTCATTTGCTTAGCATACAGATTAAGTAAGTATGGTGAAAGAAGATAACTATGACACACATCTTTCCTGATTACGTTTAAAATTTTACTTCTGTTCCAATGATCCCCTCCTGTTTCGTGTATGGGTACTGCATAAGCACAATTAAATGCTTTGGAATTACCATTCTTGTCAATATTATCCATAATTTATTATGATCCACACAAATGCTTTTACACAGTCAGTAAAACACAAATAAATACCTTTATATAAACACCTTTAAATAAACTCCTTTCTGGTATTCACTTTTAGCCAAGATCAGCCTAACAACAAGTCTATCCCTCATTCCATGGCTTCTTCTGAATCCAGACTGGGTTACTGGTAGTTCCATGAAGATACATTGTTTGCATATGTTATTAATGACATTGCTAGATAATTTCTGCATTAATTACTTTTTTTTGTTTTAATAGGCATAAATATCTTTCAGACTTCTGTTATAGTTATTATGTGCTGTCGAAATGAGTCTCAACTTCTTTCACCCTTTTGCCCCCTTTGACTTTTAACTCTAAGTCTTTCAACATTTCATTATAATATTTTGTCTTCTTGAACTGCCTCATTGAAATTTTTTTTCATGTCTCTTCATCATTTTTTCCTTTCACTTTCGTTTTTCTACATTCAATAGACATTTAAGAGTTTAACATCCATTTTGGTCATTTCCTTCTTTTTATCTTTTCAGTGACCTTTTGCTTTATTTATGCATGATGTCGTTGGTCTCTGGCCATTAGTCTTCAAAAATCTAATCTTCAGGGATTCTTTGAAGAGTATTCAAGCTTAGGTCTTTAGATGGTTTCTAAATGAGGTGGGATAAATTCGAGGTTCTACTCTGACTCGTTTTAGTTTTCTTTGACTTCAATTTGAATTAGCACATGAGGAATAGATGATCTGTTCCATAAAGTCCTGCCTTTGATCTGACTGATGATATTGAGCTTATCCATTATCTTTCCACAGATGCAGTAGTGCACAGATTTGATTCCTGTGTATTCCACTAGGCAAGGTCCATGGATATAGCTGTCATTTGTGTTTCTGAAAAAAGGTATTTGGAGTGAATAAATCACTGACTGCACAAAATTCCATTATGCGATGTCCTTCCTACTTCATTTCTGTCAACACAACCATATTTTCCAAACACCAAGCCGTTTTTGTTTTCAACTTTTGCATTCTAGTCATCATCATTACTAATGCATTTTGATTGCATGTTCACTCAATTTCAGACTACAGAAGTTGTAGAAATCTTCAATTTCTTGATCTTTGGTTTTTAGTGGCTGGTGCACAAATCTAAATAATATTTCTATTACTAGGTTTCCTTGTATGCGTAGGGATGCTATGCTATCACTGACAACATTACACTACATGGCAGACCTCGACATGTTCTTTTTGACAATGACTGTGTGACAACATTCCCCTTCAATTTGTCCTTCCTGCCATAGTAGATCATGTAACTGTTTGATTCAAGATGTCCATTTCCAAATAAAAGTTTCAGAAAAATTAAAGCCAAACCAAGACACACCAACCAGGCCTAGCACACACATGCAGCCATCAATCGGTCAAGCAGCCCAAGTCAGGCAGTTCCCACCAACACAAAGTCCAACATCCTGCAGTGTTCGAATAGGTGTTTGTTTCTTGGGGCACCCGATGCTGAAACTGGCATGTGAACCAAGGGATTTCACTCCATCTTGAGAACCAAAAGGAAAGAGAAAATTTCAAGTGTGGAGCTCACTGTTCAGAGTGTGAGTTGCTGGCTCTAGACCGTGCTCACCTGAAACTGATGAGGCTGAGGTCATTCTTTTCATATGTCCGCAGCAGCAGTAAGATTTTCTGATCTAAAAGTAATTGAGACCATTTTAGTAAGCTGAATCCTTTACACATTCTCTCACAACATACTTCTTCCTTACAGGTTTTTCAGGTCCCATTTCCCCATCATCATCACACACCCCACAAGCCACACCTCCATCCTCACACATTCCCCAGGTCACAGCCCTGCCTGTCTTTACACAGTACCTAGTTCGTATTTCCTCCTCACATGCTCCCCAGGTCACACGCTCGATCTCACACACTCCTGGGTCACATCTTCATCCTCACACACTCCCATACAGGCTCATCCTCAACCCCATACACTCCCCAAAAATTATACTCCCATTCCCACCTCTTCCCAAGGTCATACCCCATCCCCACAGCTTACCCACGACACTGAGTGTGGCACCATAGGCTCCAAGAAGCACTGCAAAGTGGCTCCTCTCACAGACAGAGGGACACATCTTTGCCACAACCGACATGAGGTCCACCAGTGCTTCTGAAAAAACAATGAAATGCACACCCTTCTTTGTTCCTGCTTTGCACAACCCTCCTGCACCCCCAATTAAACAAACACTTCTTCATAATCCTCTCTCTCCCTAGGTTTGATAAGGTCCTTGATACTAGTCCCTCTCCCAAACTTAAGTCACTAGATTTTTACTAAAGCATTTTTCCTCTATGATTATATTACCAAAATAGTCAATATTTTTACTATTACCTTAATAAAAAGACAAAGTCTTTTTCATTCTTCCTGCCACTTACCCCACTAATGTGGAGAGCAATCTTCTTCAATTCTGCAATCTACTACAGACCAGCATTGTGGTTATTTCTGACAGATTTAGGGTGCTAATTTTGTCTTGTCTCTCACCAAAATATGGCTTGGAGTGAGAGAAACCTCTGGAACATCTTCTCTGGCATCTGAGTCAGGGCCTGTGCTATACTGGAGACTCTAGATTCTAAGTACTTACTGAATTAGAGGTAGACCCTAAACTTGGACTCAGCTAAAGCATTCTCGAGCAATGAGGTGTCAATAGACTTTCCAACATTTTTTTTCTCTTGTTACGTTTCAGTCCTCCCATTAAGATTCACACATCTACATCATTTCCTTCAGGTCAGATGCCCACACATTTTTCCAGCCCTCCTAACACTTCAATTTTAATATTATCCCATGATAAGAAAGTAAGGCCACTTTAGGCTAGAACAGGCCTTTGGCAAAGAGTCTATGTTATGTCTGTCCAAGAAAACATTTCTTGGACATGAACTGGCAGAAAAACAGTTTACCTGTGTTTTAGTAGCACTTTCTTGGCTCTAACAACATGGATATCATGTTAGTGCAGAGTGAGTTTGACAAAAGCAGGAGGTAAAACCTCTATCTGAAATAGGATATTGTACCCTTCCCATCACTGGAGAGAGGATCACCTTTTACTTGGCTGTCTGGGCTTTCTTCTCCTTCAGACTTCAGCATACTTGACAAAAACAAAGAATGCTGGGTGATCATCATGTGGACCGTGGGAAGAGAGATGAGCTCCTTGTGCTGGGGGTTTTCTGGTAAATAAAGGAGCTTGATGGCAGCATGGAGTGCCTTTAAGAATGTGTAGTCTTGATAGTGAAATCTAAGAGGCAAGAACCAAAACACAGTTTCACTAAAACAAAACACAAAAATAGTTGCTACTGAGCCAACAAAGACTTGTGGTGACTACATATGTCAGAGTAGATCTGTCCTCCATAGGATTTTAAATGGCTGTTTTTTTCAGTAGTTTATAACCAGATCTTTATTCTGAGGCAACTTTGGGTGGACACAAACGCCCAGGTTTTCAGTACTGGTATGGTGCTAAGTGCTCAGCGACTATCTGAAGGTCCAAAGTTGAAATCCACCAGCCTCTCCAAAGACGAAAGATGTAGCAGCCTGTCTGTGTAAAGACTACAACTTTGAAAACTGTACAGGCAGTTATTTACTGTCCTCTACAGTCACTACGAGGTAAGTCAATGGCACACAGAAGTATGCTAAGCGTGCCATCCAGGGACTCCTGAGCTTGACTAAAGGAGAATTTTCCTTATCAAGGAACCATGAAAACTTTATGAAAATTTTCAAACATACTGTCTTTACATTGTATTATCAGGGACATTCTAAAGCACACCAAGAAAATAAAAATAACTTACTTGAGTCCAGACTTCACAAACTTCTGCCAAACACTGGGATCAACCTCATTAAGTGAATGCTATGAGAAAAGTAAACAAAAAAAAATAACATTTCAGTTGAATTAAAAAATTACTAAATGCCTGAGCTGAGTAACCTTCCAAAAAACCACAACATAACTGTCTCTCTGGGCCTAGATTCCTCCACAATGAAATATAGGATCAAAGAGCTTAAGGGGGAAAAAAAGGTACTCTAATGACCATTTCTACTGTAACTTCTGAGTCTCCCCATCACCCATTCAGTCCAGGCCTCTCTGTGATGTTTGATAAACAGGAGACAGCTCAAAACTTACAAAGTCAAGAAGCAAAACAAAGTTTGGTCTTATAACAGAGGCAAAAAATAAGATGCAGAACATGATAAGAAATGACTTATTTAAAAAATATGGTTGTTGTTGTTGTTATGTGCCGTCGAGTCATTTGCAACTCATAGTGACCCTATGTACAACAGCCCTAAACCCTGCTCTACCCTGTGCCAATCTCATTGCCTCTGACACACCCATCCTGATTACTGCAGTCACTGAATCAATCCACCTCATAGAGGGTCTTCCCCTCCTGTGCTGTCCCTCCACCCTCCCAAGCATGATGTCCCTCTCTAAAGACCTGTCTCTCCTTACAACATGTCCAAAGTATGTCAGACGAAACCCCAGAATCCTTGCCTCCAAGGAGTAGCCTGGTTTAACCCTCTCCAGGATGGACCTGTTTGTTTTCTTGGCAGTCCATGGAACATTCAATACTCTTCTCCAGCACCACAGCTCAAAGGCGTCAATTCTCCTTCTATCCTCCCTAGTCATTGTTCAACTCTCTGATGCATAAAAAGTGACTGCAAAGACCATGGCCTGTATCAGGCGGACCTGATACAGGTACCAAGTTAAAAAAAGACACAACACAAAAAACTCATGTAACTTTTTTACATAGTTGTTACTTCTGCTGGAAGCTCCAACATAGATGTAGTTTTTTTTAACATTTTATTTTGGTTTAGGTGAAAGTTTACACCACAAATGATCAATGATTTGTACACAAACTGTTCCACAACATGTAACCCCACAGGGCCACATTTCACTGCCCATCTTTCACTTCTCCGGGTTCCCTATCGTTCCCTGCCTGCTCATCTTTGACTGAGGGGAAATGCTGCCCTTCCGATTTAGATAGCTGACTGTCCTAAAAACGCTCCCTCACTGTTCACGGATGGGACTCTCTATTTCATAGACCTGTCCATTATTTGGCAGAGTGGTGACCTTCAAGAACATATTAATTTTCAAGTTAGAAGGTTATTTAGGGCAACAGCCTTGTAAGTTTGTCAGTCTTTCAGATTAGAAGGTTTGGTTTTAATTTTTTAAAAACTGTTCTACCTTTTTACTAAATGTTCTATTGTGGTTATCAAGGGCAGTAGTGCTCGCTATGCACTGTTTATTTCCTTGGACCTCAGTTAGAAAGGCTCTGTAGCTCGTGTGGCTTCCCTGAGACTCCAATTTTCTTCAATGGCTTTTGTACTTGGTGGAATAAGACCAAAAGTTGCTTCTTAGCTGATCACTAGCAAGGCTGTAAGATCCATGTCTCCTTATCACTCTAGGATGCAAAAGATTATCTTTATGAACTTCGTCTTCATTGACCTAGTCCCTTGAGACTACAGTCATCAGCACTGAGATCCAGTAGTTTAGTCCCTTTTTATTAGATAATTTCTATAGCTTATCCCTGAGACTCTACTATATATACGGATATAGAATATATGTAAAATATTTACAACCACACAAATATACATATACAAGCATGCATCTTCTCTCATCTATTCAGCATATACATTTACCTGCATATTTGCTCACAAATTATTATGATTGTTGAAGCACTGTACAACATTTACTGTAGCTGCCCTCTCCTCTTGCCTACCTTTCAGTGTCCTTCTTTACTAGATTGTGCTGTAATGACTTCTCCAGTGTTGTATACTGCCTTTCCCCTCAGAATAATTAGCATCTAAGTCTGGTAGCCTATACTAAGAAGTTGTGCTGGATTTTCAAAGGCATGTGGTTCGAATTTACCAGCTGCTCTACAGGAGAAGGAAGAGCAATCTCCTCCCATGCAATTAACTCCTGAAAATTCCCTGGAGGGTCAACTATGAGCCAGTTCCACCTCAATGGCACACAACAACAATAGGTACTATCTGGAGCTCTGATGGGTCTAGTGGTGGGAAGCTGTACTGCCACCAGCTGCTGAGTGGGGTAAGGATGGGCTATGTCCTCCCACGCTGATTTACTGCCTCCAAAAACCCACTGGAGGGTCAACTACAGGTCAGTTCTGACTAGACCACACAACAACAACAACAACAACAACGTATTATCGTAGCTAGTGATTAGTCCTTCCTTCTCCCCCTTTCCTAATAACCACTAAAGTTTTCCATGTGAAAACTGACACTTTTTTTATAGCAATGGTCTCATAAAGTATTTGCCTTTTCATTACTGACTTATTTCACCAGCAAAATGTCTTCTAGAGTCATCCTTATTCTTTGTCATTGCGTCGTATTTTTCTTTTTTTATAAATTAAAAAAAGAAATTTTTATTGGATATTGGTTTGCTTTCAAAGTTCATATACTTTGTGTTTTACACTGTCCTTCATTCACATTGTGTTTCATACAGTCATTCTTTTGTATATATGTACCAAATGTTTCTCCATTTACCCACTGATGGGCATTTAGACTATATCCATCTTTTTGCTATTATAAATAGAGCTGTGATGGCAAAGGGTGTGCTTGTTAATTTGTCACAGCTCCTACTTCTCTAGGATTTTTATCTAGGAGTGGGACACTGGCTGGATCATTTCTAGCTTTTTAAGGGAGCACAGTGTCATTTTCCATAGCAGTTGTACCATTTTTTTGTGCTACCAGCACTGTGTAAACGAATTCCAATGTTCCCAAAGCCTCATCAGTGCTTATGGCTGTTTTTTATTCACTGCCATTACTGTTGGGGGAAGATGATAGCTCAAAGTGGTTTTGATTTGCAATAATGGCTACATGATCTCGAGCATCTTTTCATGTATTTGCTGGCCGCTTGGATGTCTTCTTTGAGAAAGTATCCACTTTTGTCCTTTACCCATTTTTATAAACTGAATTACCTGTCTATGCTGTGGACGTGTTAAATCTTTCTTTAAATTTTAGAGATTAGGGCCTTGTCAAACATGTCTTTGCCAAAACATTTTTCTCATCTGTAGGTTATCTTTTTACTCATTTGGTGAAGTCTTTCACATAACAACAACAACAACAGATGCAAATATTCTTAAAATACGAGTAAATAAAATCATAGACAAAAGGGTACTCTATCACAACCAAATGGGTATATCCCAAGAATGCTGGGCCAGCTTAACATCAGAAAATCAATTATCATAATTCACCATACAAAAACTTAAAAAAAACCCCAAACACCCCCCAAACCATATGATCAAGTGAATGGGAAAGACAGCTTGGAAAGATGAAAGATGGCTGCCCTCTTCCCACCACTCCACCTCCTAGACAAAGTTCTCTCATTTCCCACCAGCATACCTTTATGTTATCCAGCTTGAACTGTGTTTGTAAAACTTTGTCTGTCTCAGTCTTCGTTCAAAATATTTAATCATCATTTCAAGAAAAGCTACCTACCAACAGCTCAGTGAGCCTCTGCAGCATCTGTTTCTCTTGGTTCTGAGCACTGTCATCATCTCGCTGGCTGCCGCTAAACGACGTGGTCAGCCACTTGATACAGGATTCCAGGAGAACCTTTCTCCAGGCATGCAGCCTTTCTGTTGACTCTTCCAAGACTGCTGAGACAGAGTCAGCCACAATCCAACTGCAGAAAAAGACAAATGATAAAAAGTTGGAGGAGAAGGTTTTACATTTACAAGCAAACACCAGAACAAATGAGCAGTGGTGTCTTCCTATCCTGTCTTACGCCTACACTACTCAGTCTCACACAAAATACAACAATCACAGACTTTTCCGGCCTGCTATCAAATAAAAACCAACTTATCACCAGGGGCAAATTATTAGCACACTGGGAAAAGAACCTATGTTTACATTTGTCTAGTAATGATTTCACAACGTTGGTACAACGGACAGTTATGAGTAGGTAATTCTTTGCTGTCAGAGGTGTCCTGTGCCCTGCAAGACTTTTGTTGTTGCTATTGTGTACCGCTGAACTGGATCCAAATGGCACAGGAGATTGCCCCTCCTTCTCCAGTGAGCATCTGGCGGATGCAAGCCATGTGCCTATGAAATTGCAGCGCAGCTTCTGGCCACTAGGTCACAGAGTTCCCTCACTACAGGACTTTTAACAGCACCATAAGCCTCTAATCTCTATATGCCAGTACTACCATCCTCCCTTAGTTGTCACAGCAAAAAATTTCAGGCATCGCAAAATGTCCCTGGGTAAGTGAAATCATCTCTGGTTGAAAACCACTCCTCTCCATGAAGCAGAGTCAGGGACTTCCTCATAGAGATATAGCTACTCAAGGGATCAAAGGGTAGAGTAAGAGCCCACACAGAGCTTCTCACTGACTGGCACAAGAGCCCAAGAGACTATTCAATAGATTAATTCATAAATAGTAAAGGGAGAGGGAGAAGTATTTGGGAATGCCATCAAACGATCTACCCTCTTTTATACATACCTCTTCTGACTGTTGGGACTTTGAAGCAAGGCTGGTAAATGATCCATTAAGACCCGGAGATCTTTGGCTCGTGCAAATGGAACAAGCTGGGCCAGGACCTCCTGATGCAGCCCAGACTCTGGGGGGCCATGAGCACTGAGAAGGCTGCTCTGCAGATGCCGCCACAGGGCCTTCCTCAAGACAGGGGCAACAGCAGAGGACACTGGGGCAAAAACATAGACAGAGGAGGCAATAGTCAAAAGTGAGCTAGTTCCAGCTTCCAAGAGCTGATTGTTAAGTTTTTCAGGAATTTTGTGAGCCAGCTGGTGTCATGCTGGCAGCTGGAAATCAGCCGAGGGAGGTGTACTGACACCAAACTGGCAAGTTCTAGAAATCAGCATCCCCTCAGAGTCAGCTGGTCAATGTAAACATTTATCTGAGTTTACTGCATCAGCCGACACTTAAAAGATATCCTTGAGCCCAGTAATCCCTGCGTTTGATCCCTGACTCTCAAAGCTCATGATAAGGCAGTGAGCGAGTAAGGCCTAGAGTGCAAAGGCTTGAGTCCCCAAAGGCACAGCTGCACAGAGAGAAGCGTATAGAGAACCACCCACTAGAAAGCTGCTCCTGTAGAAGGCTCTGTTCTTTAAATAAAAAACAAACTCTGTCATCATGAACTTCTGTTAAGGACGATGAAATAATGTGGAAATGGATAATGATAACAGTAAATGGATAATATAACATGATGATTACAATACCATTTAATTGTACATGTTAGATTGTTAAAATACTAAATACTGTGGTACATGTCTGCCTCTACCATAATTTTTAAACAATAAAAAAGTAGGCAGAAAAAAACCCAAACAACTACATGCACAATTTAAAAAAAAAAATCTGAGCAGCTCAAAGAGTGCCTCAGAGCAGAAACCTGGCAAGCAGAGAAAGGAAGGGAGAGGTGCTGCAGTTCAGTACCAGCCTCCTCAACACTCTGCTTCAGAGGAGGGACATGAGCCAGGGCAGGGGACAGACCAGCCCGGAATGACCTGATAAGACAGCCCCGACTTTCATCCTGTCCCCAAGCCCAAAAGAGCCTCTACTGCTGTCAGTTCCCTCTCTTCTTGAGAGACAGCTTAGAGCTATCGGGGGGAAAGGGGCTGTACCTCACAGAATAAGGCTGAGGACAGCACTAAATCACGGTTTCTGTGTCTCCAGAACTGGGTTGACACTAAAAGGGAGCTAAGCCACACACCCTAGGATGTGATGTTCCTGAGTTAAATGCAAACCTCCAGTTCACCTGCAGGTACCCAAGGTCAACCCATACCTCCTTCTGGGCGTGTGCAATGTCCCTGGGACCGGCAGTGAAGGTACATATGGACGAGGGAGAGGAGGTCATCCGGGCTCTCTTGGAGGACAAGCTTGGAATCGGTCTGCAGGCACCACAGCTCGAATCTCAACAGGTGGGTACAGCTTTGCTGAAGGAGCACGGTGGTGATCTGCAGGGTCGTTGGTGTCTTCTGGGCCAGGCAGTAGTCAAGGAGATTGACTCCAACTGCAGGAGCCAGCTCAGGGTGTCTCTGCAGAGTGTGGAGGAACACTGTGTCCAGTTCCTCCATGGCCAGCGTGGAAAGCAGTATCCCCAGGCCCCTCACATACTCAGAGGCCCAGAGGAGCTCGTTACTTAGCAGCTGGTCCTGGGGACTGCTGGTGAGCAGCTGGACCAGAGTCTTGCCAAGAATGTTGAGGTGTCTTCCTGGCCCAGAGGACTTTGTGGGCCTCTGGGTCACGAGGCAGGTGTCAGGTAGACCCAGCAGAGCAAGGATGACTTCTCGGAGCTGGATGCCCTCCATGTACGGATGCAGAGCCTGGAGGGCTTCCAGCTGTGGAAGGGTCTTGGGTGGGGATATGGTCTGGCCTTCCTTCCTGGCTCTCAGATCTTTCAGAACGCTCTGGGTGATGGCCTCAAAGTACTTGCCAAGGAGGCTCTGCTGACCAATGTTCTGAAGAATAGGAGCACTGGTGACCAGCAGCTGAAGGACCCCTGCACTCAACCGGGCTGCCAGGAGCTTCACGAGAATGGGATTGAGCGTGTGAGGTGGGAGGGCCTGCTGCTCCAAGGCCAAAAACCAGTTCTCCAGCGTGGGATGTCTGAGGATGGCCAGAAGCACCTCTTCAAGAGTCTACAGAGAATGAAAAGAGCACAGATGTCACCATGATGCCCAGGAAAGGGCAGAGGCAGCAGCTGCTAAGTACATACCAACTACTGTTAAGCAGAGCTCTGCTAACCTATCATCCTCCAGACTGAATTCAGATGCAGCACCCCAACTCCACCCGGTCATAGCTGCCATCAGGCGTAACATCACCACCAACTTGCTTGTCTCTCTCCCACATACATTAGTCAGCACCTGATGAATTCCCCTGAATGACTATGCTGTGCAGAAAACACCTCTCCAGGGTGACTCCCTGGATGGGATGGGTCAGCCAGAAATGTCAGAATGAGATTAGGATCAACCGTCAGTTTCTTCCTCCCTGAGTAGTCTTGCCCTCCAGAGTGTTCCTGGTTTGAGAGTTTCTCCTGACAACTGGGCAAATGATCACAGCTTAGCAGAGACCACATGTCTGTGGAAGGAGCTTTATGCACCACCCAGATAGAAGGTAATTCTGCCTCCACTCTCAGAAAACAGTGAGCTTCAAGTGGTTCCATAAGAAATGAGGTCTGACACGGCCAACTGAGTTTAAACCATAGACCAGAAAGGAACTGAACAGCCTTTGCAGGATTAGAGAAAATTCTGATTCTGTTGCTCTGAGTAGCTTTACCAAATGGGATTCCTAGCCAACAATGACATACCAGGATACCAAGAATAAATCGTCTATCCTTGTTTATTCTTTTTTTCCTTTTTTAAAAATTTAAATTTATTATTAATTTCAGTAAAAATTTACAGACTTTGGATTTCTATTCATTCACTGTTGCACTTTTCTCCCCTCCCAACCCTCCGCCCTAGTACACTACACTCTTGTAAAAGAAAAAATTCTTTCATTGTTGTACAAACCCTCCACCCAGGTCCACTCCACCATGTAGCCTTCGCTCTAGAGACCTGTCATGACAAAAATACCTAATCACATAGCCCTTTTAAACAGTTTTCTCCCTCATCTGTTTCAATGCAGTGTACATTATTGAACCCATCTTTCTCAGACTCCTCCCAACCCCAAGGTCAGTCCTGTTTTACAA